GGGGGGCGGGTCCCTGTTTTCCCCCCTCGGTCGGGGGGGGCCCCGGGGGGGGGGGGGGGGGGGGGCAGTGTGAGGTTCCTGATTCCTCATTGGTCTGTTCATGCCCTCCCCCTCCCCTTTAAAAGCCTGTTCTTTCACCTGAGTTCCTAAAGAGTTCCTGCTCCTCAGAACTGTTGACGTTGTAAATACTTTCACCAACAAAGAGTTCCTTCTCAGGAGTTTTACTGCAGTTTTTTTTTTTCTCTTCTCACTTCGTCCTCGTCAGAGTCCGACCGACGTGACCTCAGGTTTGTACTGCAGTTTTACTCCGGGGGTGCAGTAGCCGTGCCGCTGCAGGCGCAGGAGGGAACTTTGTCTGTAGATATTCCAGTATTCGCAGCACTGGTGGTGGTACTGCTTAGCAGGTAGTACATGTAGTACTTTTCTTTACTCTGAACAAGAATTCCTGTAACTGTTGGAACTTGTTTGTCCTGGTTCACGTCGACCCTCAGTCCTGGTTCAAAAGTCAAATATTTGCTTTAGATGTTATAAAACTGCAGTACTACACAGTGATAGGAAATACAATGTGTTTTAACTATGAGTGATCGGGGGGGTGGGGGGGGGGGGGGGGGGGGTGGGGTGGCCCGCACATGTACCTTAGGCCTAAACTTAGAATTAACTTGACCTTTTTTTTTTTACTTTTCTATTTATTTATTTATTTTTCCATTTGTTTTTTCTTTAGCTCATATTTATCGACAATTTCATGTTAATTTCCACGTTCACGTAGAAATTAACGCAAACACAACACGGAAGACTCGCGGGAGATGCGTACGGAAGTCGACGAACACGTGAAGCTGCTCCGAGTGCTCTGCCACCTAGTGTCAGTGTCTGTAAGTGCGCTCGTATAATAATAATCTTTACTCGTATCGTAACAGTTTGTTTTGAAGGAGAGTGAATGAACAAACAGTTCTGGTGGTTTGACCTGGGTCAGATTACAGATTAAGTTCTCAGATTATTGGACACCAAACATCTGCCGACGTCAGTAAAGTTCCAGGCACCAAATGTGAACGGTTCGGTTCCACCTGAACCTGATCTTCACACTGGACCTCCAGACGTTGGTCACCGCCTGACCTTTGACCTCTTCCTCTGTTTGTTTGTTTGTTTAGGTCTTTGTCTGCAGTCAGTAACCAATCAGAGGGAGGAAGGACCCTTTTTGACCTTTTTGACCTTTTGATCTTAAACTCTGGGGATAAAGGACGTCAGTGGCGCTCATCTTCCCGCCGTTTTCCCAGCATGCCTGGAGTTATGGATCACATGGAGCTACGCAAGGTCTGCACCGAGGCTGACGACGAGAGCAACGACAGTCTGGATGAACGCTACATGGAGCCGGAGAAGGCCAGGTCAGTACAGGTCGGGGTCATAAGGTCGGCTCTTTGTCCTTCAGTCAGACCAACCTCAAAAGAAAAAAAGGTCCAGAAACCTGGTCTTACCTTGAACCGTGGACTGATGGGACTGATGGGACTGATGGTACCGATGGTACTGATGGACAGGGCCGGGGGGCGGGGGGCAGGGGTCAGAAGTCAACACAACTGTTTGTCCCCCTGTGAAGAGAACAAAGGAAGTTCAGTCAGTCAGTGTGTGACAGTGTGGTCTGATGGACAGAGCACACACACACACACACACACACACAGGGGAGACTACAGAGTGAGCCTTTAGAGTGTCTCAGCTATAGCGTTCTCAGGGGTCAGAAGTCAGTGGAACTGTTTGTCCCCCTGTGAAGAGAACAAAGGAAGTTCAGTCAGTCAGTGTGTGACAGTGTGGTCTGATGGACAGAGCACACACACACACACACACACACACACAGGGGACACTACAGTGTTAGCCTTTAGCATGTCTGAGCTAACGTCTTCTTCTTCTTCCTGTCTTCAGTCAGTTCACTGAAGACAACGATGACGGAGAAAGTCGAGAGTTTCTGTCCAGTGGGATGATGAAGAAGAAGAGATACGAAGAGTACCACGATGAATACGTGAGAAAATACACACAGTACTTGTTTGGTACACACAGTCATTTGTAAATAAACCCAGAGTACGTGTCGACCGTAGTGAAGGAAATATATTTGTGATTCTGACAGCATCCAGGCCACACCTCCTTCGGCATGTCCGTCTTCAACCTGAGTAACGCCATCATGGGCAGCGGGATCCTGGGTCTGTCCTACGCCATGTCCAACACAGGCATCGTCCTCTTCTTGTGAGTAACTGCAGGTGGGGGCAGTAGGGGGCAGTAGGGGGCAGGTGGGGGTCTGCCCCTCAGCCTCGGGGCTTTTCTACGATTTGAAAATATAAAATAAATGAAAACAAACAGTTTTATTTTCCATCTCCAACAAAATGAAAGCAGAACTGAGCGCGACCCGACACATCGTCCTTATCGGCTAACGCTCCGTCTGAGCGTCAGATTACAGTCCAAAAATATCACTGCTGCTCCGAAGGTTTCAAGACAAGAAAAAACTTCTCTGTAATTTCTCTGTATTTTCTGTCTGTTTCTCAGACACAGAGTTTCCTTCTGAGAAATGACTCCAGAACCGGGCCACGACCCACATCTTTGACCACAACAGTTTAAATGTTCTTACAGTTTAGTAAAAAAAAATGGCCGCCACAGTGAGTCTGAGCCACATACACTCAACTTTCTCAGATATGGAAACTCTTATGTCACCTTACACCCCCTCCCCCCCTCCTTGCCCCCACCACGGCCCCCCGTGTGGTCTGGTGGGGGACATGTTGGGCTTAACA